GAATTAACCACATTCTCTAGCTATTCACTTAGAAATCCTTCTTTTGCAAACTTTAATCCTTTTTACCCAACCAAGTGCATTTGACGCTAACTGTACTATGAGTACTTAGTGAACTTGAGGTTTAAAACAAATTACTTTTCTTGTCCAGATTTGTAAAAGATACTTTTTGACTGATTAAGTTTATTATCACTAGAGCTCTTCTAGGCGGACTGTTTTTCTTAGTTTTCAAAGTTGAATTATTCGTCTGTAATGGAAAATAGTTATTTCAGTTGGAAACTCTTCTTATTGATTTGGTTTCAAAAATGCTAATTTTTAAATATGTAAGTTTCTTTAACTTCTATTTTGCTTATTAACAAAATAAATGATCTGAAGACCAATTTGTGTTTATTAAAAAGGACTAATATCAAATGAAGTATTAATGAAACCAGTCACTTCTGAATAGATTTTAAGCTTATTCACCGACTACGAGTGTACTTAATCAGGTTTGAGTAGCATCTTAATTGTGTATGTAATGGTCAATAAAATATTAACTGGTTGTCCATACCGATTTAAATCATAAGCAAAGTTCAAAGATTTATTCTACCGGTTGAAAACCGATTGGAATTTAATTGCTAAATGCGGTTAATACATCCTAGGGACAAACTACTCAATGAATTAATAACTAATGATATTAAGACTCATATGGTTAGTAGTAGGAACTAAGCCTGAAATTTCTGGATTTTTTCCCCTTATAAAATGTTTTGTAGCTGAATATGAAGTTAACTTTCAACTTTTGTTTTTATTTCATATTTATATTTTCACAGAAGAAATAATGGATCGTTTAAAGGTGTTGAATGGTGTTTCATAACAAAGTGATTTCAGTTTAGATTATTCATTGTCAATAATAAATATGTATATGATTATGTTTTTTATTGTTATTTAAACAATAAAGACTATTTTGACATACTTATGTAATTTTTTTCTTTCTGTTTTACATTTATTTATAAAGTTATGCAAATATTTTTCAATATATATCTTTATCCACTGACTTGAGTTATAGAAAAATAGGAAACCATGCAAAGCAATCGGTATATATATATATATTTTACTTACTTACGCCTGTTACTCCTAATGGAGCATAGGCCGCCGACCAGCATTCTCCAACCCACTCTGTCCTGGGCCTTCTTTTCTAGTTCCATCCAATCCTTGTTCATTTTTCTCATGTCTATTTCCATTTCCCGACGTAATGTGTTCTTTGGTCTTCCTCTTCTCCTTTGGCCTTGAGGATTCCATGTGAGGGCTTGTCTTGTGACTCAGTTGGGTGCTTTCCTCAATGTGTGTCCTATCCACTTCCAGCGCTTCTTCCTGATTTCTTCCTTCTCTGGGATCTAGTTTGTTCTCGCCCACAGTACGTTGTTGCTAATAGTGTCTGGCCAACGGATCTGAAGTATTTTGCGTAGACAACTGTTAATAAACACCTGTATTTTCTGGATGATGACTTTGGTAGTTCTCCAGGTTTCTGCCCCATACAGTAGAACTGTCTCGACATTTGTATTGAAAATCCTGACCTTGGTGTTGGTTGACAGAGAGTTGTTTTGAGTTCCAGATGTTCCTCAGTTGTAAATATGCTGCTCTTGCTTTGCCGATCCGCGCCTTCACATCTGCATCAGATCCACCCTGTTAATCAGTGATGCTGCCCAAGGTATATATATATATATATATATATATATATATATATATATATATATATATAAATACCTATATTGAGATAAACGTGACTGGTAATTTTTACCGTAAATACATATGTATATATTTTAAACAAAATTGAGTATTGAACAAGTGTTTCACTGTCTTATTCTATGACTCCTTAGTAGCTTAGAAATTAACATAATAATGATTATAGTAACCATACATTGTGTAGATAAATGTTTAAAGTGTATTTGTCATTAATTGAATGAGTCTCAGAGAGAAATGGTTGTGTATGCTTATTTATGAAATAAAACACAACACAATTAAAAATGTATAATGATGAATAGTCAGACCAAAACATGGCACAAATCCATGAAGTCACTGACAAGTGAACTAAGCCATGTTGTTAGGTGTAGACTACCCGTTTGGGGACCACTAAATGTTAACAACCGATGGTTAGAGACCCTGAATGACATGGCCCAAAATCGTTTGCAATAGCGCAGGTGCATACACTTTGTGTTTCTACCCAACGCTAATCTTCTGAATTCTTCATGTCCCTTTTTTCCTCTTTCCAAATTTATTTCACTGGATTATACTCCTTGAATTTCCATCTTCAAACCCTAATCTTTCGGATTACTGCTTATACTCTAACTACCTCTACCATTACGGGATTTGAGTCGACAACTGCATCTCTGTGCTAATGTGGTATGGCAACTCGAACTGATCTACGAACGTATGAAGTTCTACGTTGTTACTAACTAATTGACACAGGCTTATTTATCCCCTTTAACTGTGATGCTACAACTATTGTGTAATAACAATTAATTCTAGGAAGTTCAGATATTCGTAAATTGTTGAGTATAGATTAATTGTCAATTCAGTGGTTGATAGTTAAATATATTTGATTCATTAAATGCGTGCTTCTATTCCTTGCGATTTTATGATAATAACCTAACGGCAAGTATATGGTCACATCTCATAATTGTTGGTCCTTTTTGGTCTAAAATTGCGTACTCTTGGCTTTTAAATGTAAAGTATAAATTAATAGTTTCATTCACATACGTCAGCTTCCTATATATGATGATTATGATTGAATATCTGTCAAAACGAACTTTTTGTAAGTAGTAAACTTGGTAGCAGTACAACGTTGGCAGTTTAAAGAATTAGGATAGTTTGTCACTGTTTAGTGTATGAGAGAGCGTTCCGCAATCTGATATACTTTGGTACTTGGGATATAGTGTGTACTGTTATTACGTTCTACGACAAGTTATTAGATCTTTGATGGTGTATATACATATTCTTTGGCACTTTTAGGTAAACATAGTAGCATATTGTTTCTTGGGTTGATTATTACAACTTAAGGAAAGGTGCAAATCGTTTTGGAAATCCATTTTGTTCTGATTGGATATTTCTCAACAAATTTAATTTCCTGGATTTACTGTATCTTACATCCTTTCTATGCAGTTCCATATGAATTTGCGAACATTTTTAAAGACGGAACAGAAACACCATTTATTATTTATGCGGTTAAAAGACATTAATCTAAACCTGACTTGTCAACATAATTTGTCTTTCAGTGAGTTATGTTTCGATATGAATAAATAGTCCTATCACATTTTACTCCCAAAAATATTTGTCCAACTACAGCTCTGTGGTGTGCGCCTCTTATGTGGAGAGATATAAGTAATATGTAACAGCAATGACAAGTGGAATGCTTACATGCAGAAGATTGAAATAAAGAAAACAGGAAGGAAAATGGGGAGCAATCGGTTTAACAACAGAATTAAAAGAATGATGAACTATGTAAAGAGTAACTGAATGAAGTTGTACCAAGGATATATTCATTGTATGATTTTCATATTTTGAAAAGGCATTGTGTGATTTTGCATAAAATAATGAATTGGTTTGCCGTACCTGAATCTTCGTTCACTACAGCTCCAATAGATCAGTGAATGATTTCTCTATTCCCCCAATATTTTGAGCATCTATGGAATACGATATATAAAAAAGCATTTCTATGGAACTGCATTTCCAGTGATGTTTTCCAATTATTCATGTTTTCAGCCTGTAGTTGTCCAAAAAATTTCTTTGGCTTGTCCTAGTCTCGTCAACATCTTTGGTGTTACTAAAAATCTATCATCGTGAATTAGGCAAACGTACTGATACATTTCTTTCTGTTCTGATTGTCTAATCCCTACGAATTAGATTTTTTATGGTAAAATATATCGTATGGTTAGATAACTCTCAGTTGTTTTTTTCTTGTGGAATAAATACCTACCAACATTCATGGATCAAAACAATTATGACTATAATTTGGCTAATCAAACCCGATCGATATTATTTTTTGCAAAGCGACATTGCCAATACGATCTGGCAAAATGTTCCCTCAATTTTAAAAGAATTAAATTCCTTATCTACTTAACCATTGATGTTGATTCATGTTACTTATTGTGGGTAAAAATCTCATAGGAACCAACATTTATTTCAAGAATGAAGATAGATGCCTGTGGGAGATTTATAAGTGCTTCAATGTATCACGCACTTGTTATAAATAGATGATCCGTATGAATAACACTCATGTAATGTGTAGTCCTTATGGTTCATAAACATTAGTCATATAAGTATGTAAGTTCTGTTTTGAGATGATTAGTGTTAAGACATGAAAATTCTGTTAATAAGAGTATTACTGGGGAGTGCTGGTATTGTGAATCTCTTAATCGTAGTACATTTTCAACTGGTTCATGTGAGTTAATACTGTATGACTGTTGATTTCGCTACAAATAGAAATGTCGACCATAACAAACTGCTTCGTAAATGACATTATAACAGATTGGTAGATGACCTTCCATTCCTCTTTTCGCAGTTTATGTTTAGGTCGTTAAGAAACTGGCGGCCTGTTATCTTCAGTATTGCAATCAGTATGGAATGGTTAAAAAATGCAGTTTGTATCGAAAAATGTTAATAAGTAGTATTCTTAAAATTTAAGGTTTATTTGTTCTTTCGAGATGAAAGTTCACTTGATATTTGCTTCTTTGATGATAAAAACTATCTTTAATACATATCACGCCAATGACTCTCGTTTCAATAAATAATTAACGCGAATAAATAAGTATTCCCAGCTTTGATCAGTCATAGAGTTAGGTGTATATCTTAACAATCATTCATTCTAATTGCAACATTAAATAATTAGTTTACGTACTGTTGACGCGGTGAATTTGTTCAACTATGGTTGTCAATAACTTCAATAAACGATGGGTACTGTCATTGTTGATTGTTTTATAAGAGGACAATAGCTTCTCTGAGTACCTGGCTGGCTACTTTACTTCATCTACATGTGGGGAGGAGCTGGTTTTGTTCTAAATTCTATTTTATTTTCCCTTTTCTTCTTTAACAGGGTGATGTCTTCTGAAGATGATGGTAGTTACAGGACATTAGGATTACCTACTCAACCATACTGTCGTATTCATTGTCATCAGTCAGCTGTACGTGCAGCACGTTTTAATGCAGATGGGAATTATTGTATGACAGCTGGTGGGGACAAAACGATAAAACTATGGAATCCTTATAATTTTCGTTTATTAAAGACTTATGCAGGGCACGGTGGGGAAGTTTCTGATGTCCAGGTGAGCTCATATTACATAGATTTACTCCTTTTTTATGCACACACAAATGAGGGTACTTTGGTAACTCAATAACCTTGCATAGGTTTTTCTACCGTATTTTGAGTCGCACCTACTGTAATTTCTGAATTCTAACAATTGAAACGTTAAACGAGCAATTTGTTTATCATCCTGTTTAAAAGACCGGTTATGCAAGTATGAAAAGCCACCAAAGCATTGATTTCTCGACTGGTACCAGTCTGGGACGAAATCCTGAATATTGCCTACTTTGGTCTGATCCAGATCGGAATATATTAATTAATCCATTTTCAGTCAATCAGAGCTGGGAGATGAATCGACCAAGCACTACCAGCTTTATATGTAAATTCTATATAAACTGGTGTTTTCCCTACTAGATTTCGCTTTTTGGTTTCTCGTGATCTAAATCGCTCATTCTTAATTCTTGTTATGATGTAGTAAAATTCGATTGGATTTTTTTGCTTAGGTGTTTGACAGTAAAACGCAACGGTCGTTAACCAAAATATTTTTGAATCCAGTTGGTCTCCACAAGCAAATTATTACACTTTCTCCAAAATCACTTCATTATATTCACACATAAATTGCTGGATAGTAAATGAAACATTATACTTTTGATCTGTAGTTCGTGACACTACAGTCTATGGACTATCTCGCGTAATATGTGTCCACCAAGCTGAACAGGTTTTTATACTGGGTAAAAAATTTCGCATTGGGTACCTAGGAAGCACATTTATGAAACGATTGTGTATTAGTGTCTTGACGTTAAGTCAAAAGAAACTAGATCACACAACACCCTAGTGATATGTAAATAATATCTATCATTGTCGTTCCTTAAGGTATTCCGAAACCTTTCTCTATAAAACCAATTTTATCGCCGTATCATTTAATGAATCACTATCCTAATAGATCCTCACCAACAGGTCAGTAGTTTACTGATCTGGACTTGTTATGGAATAAAATTTGATGAATGAGTTTCCGATTTTTAAGATGAAAAGAAAGAATGCTACTCGATCGATAAAATGAGATGATACGGAGTTACCGAGGTATAAATGCTCGTGAGAACGAATTATCGATGTTAGCTCTTGGTCAAACAGATGCTAGAAGATTAAGACCACCAACCAAGGTGATGTTTTTTTTGTTAAAATAATGCCTTTATATACGGGATAAAATAATATGAGCGATTGGGGAAAATCAATTTTGTGGATCACTTTCACTAAAGTCCACCACCTGTCATATCAGCTTGTAGAGGCTGGCACTATGTCAAGCCCCCCATAGGCCATTCCAGCTTCTGGACAGATTCATCTTTTCATTCTTGTCAAGCCACATTTTGGCCTTGTCAATTATTCTCCTATTGACCTTGACTTTTTTTATATGATCTTATGTGCGTTAATTATTTAGCGTTGACATTATATGTCTGCAACTTATTTTAGTCTGAATATAAATATTGAGTCACGCGTAATCAAAACCAGTTAGCTCACTCGGCTTCTCCAATCCGTTTTTCTTTGCTGCGATTCTCTGATTGTGTCCGAGAGTCAATGAGTGTGCGAAATACACGTATTCAAAATCCACTCTTGTATTTGGCTTATTTTGTTCTATTAGTTTCTAACGTGAGTTAAGTCGATAATTGTATACGAGGGTTGGTGGCATGTTATGTTTCGACAATAATCAGCATACGATTTAACTGGAGTCAGATATCACATACTTAGACCTCACTACTTCATGTAATTTGGTTTGGATAGTGAGATTTTTAATCTAGCCTTCACATTAAACGTCTGGACTCACAACCAGGGATAGGAATCTGTACTTCAATAGTGATCAGAAGCGTAAATGCATTCTATGGACGATTACATTTATTTTCCATTTGGATGTTAACTCATTTTTCATCAATACTTTGCTTTTTAACAATGTAGGCAGGGAAAGATAATAGCCAACTTGGTTCAGGTGGAGCAGACTGTTTAGTTATATTATGGGATGTTTCTACAGGACAATCTGTTCGTCGATGGCGTCGTCATGCTGGTCGTGTAAATTCTGTTTTATTCATTGCACCGTTTCACAATTCCGATTCATTAGACCCTAGTCCAATTTTATTGTCTACTGGTGTAGATGGGATGGTTCTAGTTTGGGATGCCAGAGCACGTACTCCTTATCCAGTTCAGGTAGGTGTTTTTGATTAAAACGATTATAATTTAAAGTAATAGGTACAACGGAACCCGAACACGCAACAAACACTCCATCAGTAGGATCAAATAGAGATAAAAGATATCTGTTGGATTTTTTAGCCTGATCAAGAGGCTATTATGCCAGTATAGTGATTCAAACTTGACTATAATCAAATTGTTTTTTCTCAAAGTCCACTACATATGACGAAAAAGGTTTTCATTTAAACTAATGTATCTATATACATTATTTGCTATGTCTTTACGGATGCGATTCGATTTCCTTGTATTCAACTTTCGCTTACATATACCGATACGTACACTCTATCATCTTAACATTATCTGGTCTACCTAACCGCTTATAGTTTTTCTAATATTTGGCATCAACTTAGACTTGGTGTCATGTTGAGACCTAGTCCTGATGATTTGATCAACACGAACATCTAGATAGAGATAATATATTGATTATTCTTTAGCAGTCAAATAGAGTATCACAGTGTTTACTTTGTATTCGAATTGGGATTACCAATTGTAGCGTGGCGTCGAGTTGAGATTAACTATGAACACCGCTACCAAGAAACACGTGCCAAATAAATCAGAAGGCGAGGGTTGGACGTAACCAAATAGATCCATAAAATCCCCGAGAAGCCAAATACCAGAAGGCAATTAATGGACCAAGTCGAGTTATATTTGGCTGGCGATCTCGTGGCATCGAAAGGATACCGAGATCGTGCCAGGATACAACCTTGGTTACAGAAGGTAACCGAATTCGCGCGAAGTTACAATCGAAGTGTAAGTATAAGAATGGAAGCACAAAATAGCTGTCATTAGCACAGTCAAACAAAAGCACATTAAAATAAACACTGGTACAGTTGGTTATAATAATAATTGTTTTTATTAAACCAGTCATGTTCTCGTGATGAATGTGACTCACTACAACTTTCCGCCATTTTGTTGAGTAAATCCAAACTGTGGGCTCATTAAGTACCATTTACCAATACAATATAACTAAATTGTTCCAAACAATCAGTGCTCATCACTTTGCATTGGTTTTGTGTTCGTTATTTTTGCCTGTGATAAAGCACAGTAAATTTCATTTTTAATAACTCGTCTCAAGACTCCATTTCCTTAAAATCTCGGTTCCCTAATTGATATATATATATATATATATATATATATATATATATATATATATATATATATATTACTACTTACTTTCGCCTGTTACTCCCAATAGAGCATAGGCCGCCGACCAGCATTCTCCAACTAACTCTGTTCTGGGCCTTCCTTTCTAGTTTTATCCAATTCTTGTTCATTTTTCTCATGTCTATTTCCATTTCCCGACGTAATGTGTTCTTTTGTCTTCCTCTTCTCCTTTGGCCTTGAGGATTCCATGTGAAGGCTTGCCTTGTGATGCAGTTGGGTGCTTTCCTCAATGTGTATCCTATTCACTTCCAGCGCTTCTTCCCGATTTTTTACTCCGCTGGGATCTAATTTGATCTCTCTCACGGTAGGTTGTTGTTGATAGTGTCTGGCCAACGGATCCGAGGTAAATACTTGTACCTTCTGGATGATGGTTTTTGTAGTTCTCCAAGTTTTCGGTCCATACAGTAGAACTATCTTGAAATTTGTATTGAAAATTCTGACTTTGGTGTTGGTTGATAGACAATTGTTTTGAGTTTCAGATGTTTTTAAATTGAAGATATGCTGCTCTCGCTTTGCCGATCCGCGCCTTCACATTAGCATCAGATCCACCGTATTTTATTCGTTGATTTTATTTGGAAGTAGGATATTTCATTTAAATATGAATTGGAGTGGCTCAATAGTTTAGCATTCCACTTCCAACTATTAAGTCTCATTTATTCCAATAATGGAATATTAGTCTTTGAAACGAATCAATGATACCCAAACACGTAATAAGTTGTTGAATGAAATTAAGAGAAAATGCAATGCCTTCTCAACCGTATTTCCTCTGTGAAAATTACGTCATTCTCTATGTGTTTATCCTATTCTGCTTTTCTAGCAGTGCTTCCAGGTTTTCAATGGTGGGTTCATGATCTCAATCAATAAATTAATGATTTATCCAATCACATTAACATGTGATTATCAAGATTGTAGACAGACATATTGGACTATAATAAATTCAAGAGGTTATCCTATGTTATGATGTTCATTCCATTTTTGAGTTTACAAACTCCCTCCACCCTCCATTGTATGTATGTCAATCAATTATATGTGTGTGATCTTATCTAGTTTCTTCATCAAGTGGCCGGATTATCGATCGATTGTGTATCACATGTTCTATCTAGTGCTAACAACTTGAACTACTCAATTATTTTATTATTATTATTATCCCTACTTTTGACTGATTTATGCATTTTTCATTTCTCATTGATTCCCGTACTGTTTTATCATTTTTTTCGCTTCTTTTGTAGACTATCCATGAGGCACGTGATAGTGTCACATGTTGTGCATTTCGTCGACATCAAATTGTTACTGGTTCTGTTGATCGATGTGTTCGGATTTATGATATTCGACGAGGTTAGTGAAAATCTATTTTTTTTTTTAAAGTTATCACTGTGGCAAACTTCTTTATATGCGGTACATTTGTTTTCTTCTTGAAGGAACATTATTTTGTATTATTTATAAAATTAACTAAATCAAGATTATGAAATTCATTCTCAACTGGTTGAAAATAACTTTTCACACCGACAGTAGACTGATAACTTTATGATCATAGGTTTCTCAAGTGCGAATAAGATTTTACTAGTAACCGATGAGACTGCAGTTTATGGACGACCTTTGATCAGCTCTAAAATGACCTTAGAATGTCCACCTACTTACTAGAGTTAAATGAGGATTTTATATTAGTGTGAGGAATTAGGATTATGATTTACAGTTGGTGGTTAGGGTTAGGAATTAGATTCGGGGTTTTCGTCACGAATTGACATCAGTAATAGTGCTAAAACGCTATTTAGCCGAATGGACGAATGATTTTCCTGCCAAGTGTGAGAAACTGCATTCTGAACAAATAATCACTTAGTGTTACTCTCAGGACAATTTTGTACTAAACAGACAATCCGGGTGAGCTAATCATACTCAGACTAGAGCAATACAACTGCTCTCCTGTTTTACGATCCGATCTCACGATCCCTTAGTAAACAAGCAAAAGGTGTTTATTTTTCACTAACATATCACAGACAGTTGTTCAAGACGGCATCGAAAGTTGTAATAAGAGGAATAGGATCCAAATTATATGATTAACCTTAGTTAAGATTGTTCCAAATTTAAATGTTGATAGAATAGTAATACATAATGGAGGTGACGTTATTATTTATCCATAATCAAATTTTAAAAGTCTGAATAATCGCAGAGGAAATACTAAATTATGACAGGATTATTCAACATGATCAGTATCAAACTCAAATTTATGTATAGACATTAAAAAGATAATGTGTGATATAAATTATATGATTACAGTTACCGTGTCAATTAAAGGACTATTGCGTTTTCCCTACGTACATATGGGTCATGTCGGAAATATTTAGTGAACTACATTTGCGAAATTGGGTATAATGGGCGATGGCTATTTGTTTATTATTTTGTATACTTTACTGATATCCACTGTCCATCAGGCACCTGGCTACTATAATAGTGAAGACATTACTGCTATTGCTTTCTAGCACGGTGTTCAGAAAACCTAGCAGATACCTTCCTCTTCATCCTCCCTATCTGCATACTTACTACCTCAAGTTAATTCATGAATGCAACTGAATGTTATTATGTCTTGGGACCGCATATCAATGTTACATGCCAAGTCATTATTCAGAATCCTAATTTTGATTTGCTCTATTTCAAGTCTACTGTTTCCTCGACAGCTAAGTTCACATTTCCCTGTTGTTCGCAAGCTCCTCTCTATCCCTTGCCTTGAGTAGCAATCAACCTCTACGGCTATACCGGATCTCATCAAACTATAGAATGAAATATAACAATTATATATGAACGGACCAAAAGTGGCTGTGACTAATTGACTGGCAACAAATTAGGAATAGTAAATAGTGTAACCACAGTTGATGGGCTTGCTTAAATTTATCAAATGGTCATGTTGTATCAATTCATGAATAATTTTTCACGATATAAATGATATTTTCCTATTTTTGCTTAATATCCTTTATATTTGTTGACTGGGCGATATAAAATGCTGTAGGTGAAATGACTGAAGACTATGTTGGATACCCAGTTACATCGGTTTCAATTACCATAGATTGTCAATGCTTTTTAGTTGGTACACAAGATTCAACTTTACGTTTATTCGACGCGTTAACCGGTGAACTTCTTAACAGATACACAGGACATACTAATCAAACATACAAGTAAGATCATTCCAGAAAGGTTGCCTGTTTATTGTTTGTATATTTATTTGCGAAACAGTTCAAGACTCATCATAATATTTAATGATTTTAAACCTACATCTCAATATTTTCTGACTGTGCTATAAAAACTTAGTAATAAAACCATACTAAAATTATAAATCTGATTGAGGCTAAGTAATGTGTTTTTTAATATATGAAGTTTCGTCAGGTGACACTAACCAAACCAAAAATCATAGTGTCTGCTAAAGCATCAGTTTCCTTACGCAGCCCTTAAGAAATTCCAAGACTTATCTGTTTGCGTTATCCTAACATCCATTCTTGCCAAATTAACGGGACTATAGTTAACATTGCTCAGTTTCATGATCTAAGGTTTGTTATGCTATTCTCCTAGTTTCACATAAGTTACAAGTTATAAAACAGTTTATTAAATGTCTACATAAGCTGATAGTATCCAAAGTTGCATATCACCTAGGTTGCATGGATTGTCATGACTGGGAGTCTGAAACAGTTGTGAAATAACTTATCTTCTAGTAACTGATCAGATCCCAAAGAGTCTCAGTTTTAGCAGCTCCTTTGCTAATCATCTCATTAGCAAGTTTTGATAAGCCGTCTATTTCCTGAATTCGATTGAAGAGAAATTACGTCTTAGGGTATATTGAAAGCTATAAGTTTATGACTGGCGCTTTAATTGGACAGATTCTCAGTCTTGCAATATTTGAGTTTGAATTGTTCAAAGGTAATATAAATGGGTTTTTATACTGCGCATTACTATTGAACTAGGTGCCATAAAACTTGTACCTTTGAATAGTTGATTCTGAAGGACTGCGTAAAACAGTGCATAAATACACACACACACACATTTCTTCATGTACTATTGTCGGTTGAAATGGAGAATATACATTTGGCTGACTCTCGCCTTCTCAATGGTTTTGAGGCTGGGTCAAAAGTTATCGGGAGTATAGTTTAAGTTTAGTTGAGATGTACTATTAAATTAATATTCATTTATTTAGATTAATACAAGTTATGGTAATCGATCTTCATAATTTGTTTCATTTCTTTTTTTACAGAATGGATAGTGCTTTGATGAATTTAGATCGTCATATAATCAGTGGTTCAGAAAAAGATGGTCTTGTTTTTGTATGGGATTTCATACGTTCGGATGCACCGATTCATACACTAGATCATCAACCTGGTAGCAATGCATGGGGTGTTTTATCTCCACACAACCCAGAATCAGTTAGTGAATTGATAATTGAAACGGCTAAATCAGTAAATTTTATGATTCATTCAGTGTCACCACATCCTAAACAAAGTAAACTACTTACAGCAGGTGGTGATTTTGTTTGGTTGTGGGACGCTGAACCTAAAGATATTAAAGAAAGTGAATAAAGATTTCTTGTATATATGGTTTGATTTGTACAGATATTTTGTTTGAAAAAACTGGTGTAATTATCATTTGTTATGCTTCACTCTGGATATACTTGATGACTGAATTACCTTGGTGGGTTAAAGGTAATAACACAGTGCATATTTTCATCGGATTTGCATTAATATATTATTTCTTAAGGAATAAAACGCGTAGTAGACTATAGAGACCTTAACGGTTGATTATAATCGTTCATACGATTTTAACTGACTTCGTGATGTAAACGAAAACATTGTGGTTGTAATGACTGCTATTTAGAAAGGTTTGTCATTTAAAGTTGAACTACCTCAAATCGGTAATACTCATACTGTTACTTTCGATATATAGCTGTATTGCTTGAACGAAGCATCTTCGAAACAACTACCATTTAGGTTTACAGTTTCATTAATGATATAGTAGCCCAATCAAATTTCACCAAATGAGAAGGCTGCGTTGTCCCAATCAGAAATATCCTAAGTGCCAAGTGCATCCTATTGGCCAAGAAACGGTCCCATTTTCTCAGTAGATATAATATGTATACAAATGAGCGCTTATGTATGTAAATCGGTTTACTCTAATAAGCTCCCGTCTTCACTCTTAGCCTTCTCTTTCGGTAGCCGCTCGGGGGCTTGTGTATACGAGGACACTGCACATCATAACACACTGTATGTGACTAAAGTCACTATAAGTGTTGCCGTAAAATTTCAGTTAAATTAACAAACAACATATTGAGAAAGTAACAAAGATAACAGAAAGGTAGGCGACAAAGACTTTGAATTTTATGCTGAAATTACTAATGTCAAGATCTCAACTATACCTTGAGAGTGTCTACCTAATAACTAAGAACGAATGAGGGTTATAAACCAATGTAAGGAATTAGAACTATGATTTACTGTTGATGATTAAGGTTAAGAATTATATTTAGGGTTTTCATCACAAACTGACATAAGCTATAACGACAAAACTATTTACCTAAATGGATCGGTGAGTTTCGCGCCAAAATTCGAGACCTGTTATCTTATACCTGATTGGTTGGTCCATATATTATAGTCTCGCCGATTTCTTTACTGTACTACCATTTAGTGATTTTACCAGTCATATGCCAAATAAAAGTCGAAATGGAGTCCTAAACGGCAGTCTCCATTAACAAATTATGAAATATGATACTTAATCAGTAACTCACAAAAAAGTTGTTGATGAATTCTGACCAAGTAAATTATTCACCTGATTAAAAAGTAACAAACAAAATTTCTAACTACATTGCATTTTTAGTATCAGAACGGGTTTTGTGGATATTATAGTAATACAAAGTCAAGGAAAACACAAGTGTCGCAAATATATTTCTTCGAAAAAATATTTGGTTTTTTATTATATCTTAAAAGATTAAGCATATGCAAATGTTATTGTTATCTCCATTCTACTTTTCTCATTGGTGCCGTATGGTCAATCACTTCGCGTATCACAGGTGTTCTCAACTGATTTTCTTTACAGTGATAACATTTTCCACTACAATATTTATTACTTGTAAATGTTAATTTATTAGCATTCAAAATCTTTCTACATGGTTTAGCATTTGTTCCACGTTCAACAGCTTGATAATTTTGAGACTTAGAATTAAATATTGGATTAATCGAAATCGAATTATTCAATAAAGTTTTACAAGAGTGTTCCTGAAATATCGTACATAAAAGTCATGTCAGCTCTACTGAGGTAAATTACAAGACAACAGAATTACAACATTTTAGTGACTACAAGATTTAATATTTAGTTGGACAAGATAGATAACTCATGATTGAGTTACTTTAATAATGATCAATGGAATCCCCTATAGTAAATAATACACCATTCAATACACAACTATGAATATTACAAATGATACAAACAATATATTAGAAATATTTAACAGATGAGGACAAGTGAAATTTATCTTAAAATTAAAACTCTGCCAGCGATGAGCATTATGAAATTCAACAATCTCTACAGACTGCTTAGACTGATAATAATCATGTGTTAACGAGTAACTAATTTCGAGAGGTGATTCTAGTAGTTTTAGCAAGAAGCTATGACCAATGGAGTTCACCCATTTCGAGTGTGAGACAGTTACTCACTAATGGCATTGAACGATGGTCTCGTGACGTCTCAAATGGAATAAAGTGTAACTTATGAACCATGGAATCTAAACTGTGTATGCACGCTGCAAAACATTAAATCTTGAGCTCGATTCCAAAAGGAGCGTTGGGTGCACTCTACTATGGAGTCCCATATTAGGAAGATATAAATATCTTGTGCTTTTTGGTTCCTAGTGGCGGTCTAGACAAGATTATTTCGTAATGTAGATATAAAATTGGATAGACCTCACAAATATTTTATGGTCAAACTACTATACGTATACATTGACTATGCAATAATGATATTGCTGGAATATAATTCTTTCTTAGAAAGAAGTCTCTTTAATCAATTATAGTCATTAAAAATAATAAAAAAATGCACTGATGATGGTAGAAGTTAAGGAAGATAAATTAGATTTTCAGTTTTTCAATATGCAATAAGTGATTCCATAAATACTTAGTCATTTTGTAATAAAAACTTACATCTTTGACTGGCTCTTTGACTTTATAAAGGGTAGTGGCAGTTATATCGCGATTAGAATTACGCATAAGTAGTCCATCATTTAAACTGGAATTTATAAATGGACAACCTCTTGGAAAGAAATTAGGTACATTAGTCCAAGTTGGCGTTTCAGGTTGATGAGCAGGATTCATACTACCATTTTGGTGGAGATATAAACATGTTTGTAAAGATTTGCGACAATGATCAGCCAAAGTTTGAAGCTTTCGAATCAGCCTATGCAAATGGAAGTAGCAAGCAGCATTAATGTGTTCTGGGTGGAATTTATTTCTGTTCTAATTAGTTATAAATCTAATTAAATTTGTGCAAAAATATTAACCCAAGACTTTTTGAGTTAAAGATATTCAATAACAACCCATCATTTGTGGTAACTAGTTATTAAGTCTTTTTCTACGGCCTAGTATTCTCGAACACTTCACTTCAACACGACAGGTCGCAAATAAAAACAAGAAATTGAAATATGATTATTTTTAAGATTTTTTAAAAATGTTAATGTATACACAACCGCACAAATTTTGTGGTCACCTCAACTCATCCACTAGCGCTGATTGATCGAAAATGTATGAAACACGCATAATAAAGTTTCTGTCCTGAAATCGCTAGTAGCAAACTTCGGAAAGATGAAGATTTGAAGTTCAGATGGACATTTTTGATGATGCGGTGTTCTCCGAAATCATTGGCTTAGGCTTATTTAAAACTTTCATCGTAGTTCTGGGCAAAATCATCAATATCTAATTTGTGTAGAAGTGGTTTTTCTAGTTATACCAAAGTATTAGGTTGATTTGTTCTGAAGGTTTTGTTTGCAATTGATTTACTTCGTAGGTTCTGTTGTCGTCATTTGTCAGTTTATTGATGTTAACCGTTTTGCTTTGTTGACAGTAACAACATACAAAAAAATCTACGTACAGACATTATTTAAAAGAGCGAAAGCAAAATGTAGAACCTAAATACACAAAACCCCGAAGAAATTCACTTTTTCTCTGGCTTCCGTAAAAATGGTTGTCCAGCAATTTCAACAAGAGTTATCTACCGAATCAACAGACCACCGGAAAGTCAATCTCGCAAACCAAGTCCTGGGATATGTGGTTGTGAAACTTTTCGGAATCACTGTCGATCACAAACCAAGGGAACCACTTGGTTCTACTATATAAAGATGGAATGACACACAAGTAAACGACAAATGCAACATCATCTACAAGAATTGAATTGACTGTAAGGAATATTATACTGAAAAAGATTGATTCTCCATTTGATAACTTGGTATATACAAAATCCAAGCTCAGTGAATTTGTCATCGTTAAGTATTTTTACGTGGAATATGTTGACCAAAAATATATGCTTAAACTTTTAGACACTGAGTTCATGAAACCATACTAAAATGGTAACCTAGAATTACGATAGTTTTTCATTGAAAATAGTCATTATTTAGTCGAATTACATGTGTAACTTACACAACGTTAATAAATTTTTCAATGTTATGAAGCTCCACTGCACCACATTTTTCCGGAGGACTGACTGAATTTGAATTACGTCGCGATTGTTTAGAATTGTTTGGAGCATTATTGCATCTGATACACTTTGAATGAATTCCCTCAGAAAGATTGCTTAATTTGCACAGAGCCTACATAGTAAAAAATAGGATCAAGGGATTAATTTTATTCAGTGATACAGAGTACTTAAGCAAAAGGAATATGGTGGTGATGAAATAACGAAAATTTAGAACTTACAAGAGTTATGCTAAGTCCTGTGAATATAAAACCTGAATTTAATAAGGCACGGAATTCAAGACTTCGTTGTATCATTACTTGGAAACACTGTACTGTTCCATCTATGAAGCATTCTTTTTGAACCGTATTCTGTATCGATTTATTCATTTATGAGTTATTTTCAGGTTCTGATTAATTAGAAAGTACCCGGTGGTCTAATGGTTAAGCGCTCGCGGGCGAGACTGATAGGTCCTAGGTTCGAATCTCGCGGGGAGCGGGATCGTGAATGCACACTGCTGAGGAGTCCTATACTAGGACGAAACGGCCGCTCAGTGCTTCCAGGTTTTCTATGGTGGTCTAGCTTCAATTGACTCATGATTTCAACTAGTGAAATTTCTAAAATCTCCACAAAGCCCCTTCTGATAATAATCATCTGCTCACTAGTGACTGACTTCAAGAGACACTCCTGGAGTTCTAGTGAGAAGTCGTGGAGTTCATTCAGATCTGTTGTGAGATATCAGCTCACTGAAGACAATGGTGACGGTGGCGCAATTTCGTGGATTGGTTCAAGTTAGACATTAACACCGTTGGATGCCAGCCCAGTGGTCTAATGGCTAAGCGTTCGCGCGCGAGACCGATAGGTCCTGGGTTCAAAAGGAATATGTTGGTGATAAAATAACGAAAATGCAGAACTTACAAGAGTTATGCTAAGTCCTGGGAATATAAAACCTCTGGAAAGCATTGACTAAAATAAATTATACTACTTTATCTGTGTTTTAGAATGTTTGTTGACTATAACTACAACATTACATATTTCGTATTTATGATATTTTTCTGATAGTCAGTTTATTTTATAAATAGAGACAAGTAAATGATGAGAACAGAATTAAATGTATATGACCTCTAAATCCTTTACAATGAAAGCATTCTTTAAAGAATTTCATTTACATTTCAGAGATTCCATATAACTTGCCTAACATGTTAATTTTTGTAGTATTCCTAGAATTATCATGAAATAAATTAGTTACTCGAAATAGTACAAAAAGGTACTGAGAGAGGTAGAGAATAACCAGATGAAAGAAATGGGAATACAATAAATTTAACCAATTTTAATGATAAGTTAGAAAGGAATATATTTATTTTATTATTATTAGTGGATTTATTCAGTATTATATTTTTGGTACAATATAGAAGCACAAAATATTTCAACAGGTTTTCGTTTCTTACTTCTTGGTCGATCCTGACGATAAATGTTGAGTGGCCGCCAGTTAGAAGTTAGCATTCCAGTCAATCGATATCTAAATAGTGTACATTATTTTCATTGCATAATGCCAGAAACCACGATATATCAGATTGCGCGTCTTGCAACTTTTACAACGAAAGATTGTGCACTTTTTAGAAACGCACTTGTTGAAATATCTAGATGCCAGAAATAGGTAGCCCAGATGTTGAAGCAGGCCACTCTTTCGTTTATATAAAGATAATAGGCTTAGTATAGAAAGTTTGTTAGTTAGCTTATCTAAAGCTTAGTAATCGAACTTTTCGAATGCAAAAGTTAAAATGTTATAATTCACAATAATAATAATAACAACAACAACCAAATTATTGCATCTACTTAAGAACTCCAGTCTACTTCTGAGAAAAGTGTTGTATTGAACTGATCCTGCATTGATAATCTATTTTTGTATTGTTACAAAGAAAAGAATGTACTTACGTTTTTGTCATCGTGCTCAACTTTTTCACACGAGTTTTGCTTCCCCATATTCTCAGCACATAAGGACTTAATTCCGTTCACTGGATATGATTCATGACTGGAATATTTGTTACCTGAGAAAAACCAAAATAATTTATATTGTATCAATATTTAGAGTTTTCTGTTTCGCAATGTTATTGGTAATGTTTTAAATTAACTAATTACTCTTGCATTGTAAATAATATGTTCCGAAATAGTAGTCGATGCCACGTGCTAAATTTATCAATCAGTATTCCGACCATAACTTTTCTACCCCGCATCTTCTATTCCAACTATAGCCTGCCGTTCTAAATCTTGAGTAGTGACGCGTTGTGATCGGCGTAATTAACTTTGTGTTAAAGCAGGATTTATCCATATTGGTCTATCTATCCACTCACCTTTCTCTATCCTCAGTCTTGAGTTAGAAAAGTATGTAGCCAGGCTCCTATTAATATATTTCAATTACCCAGCTTAGCACGGTATAGCAAATAAGAAATCATACTTTGAACAAAATCATGCTATAAGACGCAGAGAGTGAAGCAAATAGTACGTAATTAACAATAATTAAGAAGTAGCAAAATACATAACGACAGTTGATAGGTCCAGCGAAAGCTTCGAACAAGGAAAACAGAAATGCAATAATTCAGTTAGCTACTAATTATATGATGCAAATATTAATAATAATTCAAAAGTAGTCCTAACTATTCCAATACTCGTCCCGTCACAACAGTTAGTTACTTCCTGAGATTTATAATATCATCTTTTGAAGGTGTTTTTATAAATAAAGTGATTAAGGGTAACTCACCATTTAAATATAATAATGACTGGAGTAATGAATTTGAATGACATTAATGTAAAATACACCCATAACGTATAGATTTCACAAGTCTGATGAAACCCTAAACATTCAAAAATTCTATTTAAAAAGTCAACTTGTAAAACTAATGATTAGGGATTTCATTAAAGTTCGTAAATGAATGGAAATGCGAACCACAATACTGTTTCATTACTTCGATATACGCTGTGTCTACTTACCTGTAATCCATGCTATACAGTCTAGACTTAAGCGCTAACCAAATCCTGTTAATTGACTTTACAATGTAACCACTAACCTAAGTTAACCGACATTAAGATGCACTACTTTTGATATCGAATGATTGTAGTCCACTGGTAGATTGTTATGGACCAAGGTTTCGTGCGAGACAATACACTCAACAAGATTGTGCGTCTACTCTCAAGCCGATGCAAAGTTTCCTAACTTGATATTCATATTGATCAATATGGTTTAAGCAAAAATAATGATGACGCAATATGACAATAATTACTGAAAATAAACAGGATAGAGTAATCAACTACAATTTATGAGAGGTTACTGGCAGACCGTATAGCAAATTGATGACATCGGTTGTGGAACGAGTTGATGTGAGTTCGAATACGTGTTCGTTTAAAACTGTAAACTAGTAATGTTTTGTCAACGAGGAAGAAACATAAGTTTGTAGATTTCTGTAAGTCGCTTGCACTGATCTAGCATATGGTGTTTTATCCACTTTAGTTTTAAAACTTTCAGCCAATGATAAAAGAAGACAGTTCTGATGTTGGTGTAATCTATTCATTACGAAACTTATTCATACATTTTCAAAATTGAGATGCTAAGAGGGACATCAGGACCAGACAACATTCCAGCAGGGGCACTAAAAGCAGACGTAGCAGTAACTGCAAGGATACTTCACATTCTCTTCAATAAGATTTGGGATGAGGAACAAGTACCAAAAGACTGGAAAGAAAGACTCCTGATCAAAATACCGAAGAAAGGCGATCTCAGCAAGTGTGATAACTACAGGGGCATCACTCTTCTCTCAATACCGGGAAAAGTCTTCAACAGGGTATTGTTAAACAGGATGAAGGACTGCGTAGACACCCAACTTCGTGACCAACAGGCAGGATTCCGTAAGGATAGATCGTGTACAGACCAAATCGCAACTCTACGGATCATTGTGGAACAATCAATTGAATGGAATTCATCACTCTACATCAACTTCATTGACTACGAAAAGGCATTTGATAGCGTGGACAGAACAACACTATGGAAACTTCTTCGACACTACAGCGTGCCTCAGAAGATAGTCAATATCATACAGAGTTCATATGATGGATTACACTGCAAAATCGTGCATGGAGGACAGTTGACAAAGTCATTCGAAGTGAAGACCGGTGTTAGGCAAGGTTGATTACTCTCACCCTTTCTCTTTCTCCTGGTGATCGACTGGATAATGAAGACGTTAACGTCTGAAAAGAAGCATGGGATACAATGGACATCTAGGATGCAGTTGGACGATCTAGACTTCGCAGATGATCTGGCCCTTCTATCCCAAACGCAACAACAAATGCAGGAGAAGACGAACAGTGTGGCATCAGCCACAGCAGCAGTAGGTCTCAATATACACAAAGGGAAAAGCAGGATTCTCCGATACAACACAGAATGCACCAATCCAATCACAAATGACGAAGAAGATTTGGAAGACGTAAAAACCTTTACGTATTTGGGCAGCATCATTGATGAACAGGGTGGATCTGATGCAGATGTGAAGGCGCGGATCGGCAAAGCAAGAGCAGCATATTTACAACTGAGGAACATCTGGAACTCAAAACAACTCTCTGTCAACCAACACCAAGGTCAGGATTTTCAATACAAATGTCGAGACAGTTCTACTGTATGGGGCAGAAACCTGGAGAACTACCAAAGTCATCATCCAGAAAATACAGGTGTTTATTAACAGTTGTCTACGCAAAATACTTCAGATCCGTTGGCCAGACACTATTAGCAACAACGTACTGTGGGCGAGAACAAACCAGATCCCAGAGGAGGAAGAAATCAGGAAGAAGCGCTGGAAGTGGATAGGACACACATTGAGGAAAGCACCCAACTGAGTCACAAGACAAGCCCTCACATGGAATCCTCAAGGCCAAAGGAGAAGAGGAAGACCAAAGAACACATTACGTCGGGAAATGGAAATAGACATGAGAAAAATGAACAAGAATTGGATGGAACTAGAAAAGGCTCAGGACAGAGTGGGTTGGAGAATGCTGGTCGGCGGCCTATGCTACATTGTGAGTAACAGGCGTAAGTAAATAAGCAAGTAAGTAAGAGTGACATGTATTCAAACAAGCTTAAGTAAAATATCATTAGTTGTAAAAACATTGCCTTTACCTATAAATAGTAAAAGTAACATCACAGGTAAAATTCACAATTATTTTCGCTCGCAATATTACGTGCATTCTAGTTTCAAAACATCTAAATGCCGGCAAACCGATGAAAGTAAAAAAATAGTACATTATGTTTGGATGAGAATTGTTGGAATAATTAGGCAGCCAAGAAGCGTAATAAATGTCATCTCAGATAATAAACGAATCGTCGATAGAATATGTTACTCTAAACAATTTGTGTGTTGTATAATAGATAATCCCACTAAAAATTTAGAATATAGCATAAAAATACTTACTGTCAGTACCAAGTCCCTCTTGAGTTTGTAAGTGAGCTATAATTCTCAAAATTAAATCCCTTTCACTTTCAGCATTTTTTATTTTCTTCTGTAAAATGAAAGAAGTAACAAACTTTATTGAAATCATGAACTGATCTAAGTTAGACCACCATTTAAAGCCTGGAAGCACTTGACGGTTGTTTCGTCCTAGTATGGGACTCCCCTACTATCCTGCACGCGGGAATCGAAACCAGAACCTTAGCTCTTGGGTGTGAGCGCTTAACTTCTACAATCCCCCGCTAGTAATTATCATGTGCTTCCTACTGAATGGCTTTGAAAAGAAGTTTCTGGAGTCCTAGTCAGTGACTGATGGAATTAATCCGTTTTGGGTGTGAGGTAGTTATCCACCGGAGACAATGGGAAATGGTCGGGTCATGTCTTGGATTGGTTAAAGTTGGACATTAACAACGTTGGACGCCGACTCAGGTTAAGCGTTAGAGCACGAGACCGAAGGTCCTGCGTTAAGTCCCCTCGTGCGGGATAGTGGATGTGCGCTGCCAAGGAGTCCCATGAGGAGACGAAACGGGTGTCTTGTAATCGCAGGTTTTGAATGGCGGTCTAACTTAGACTGATTCATAGTTTCAATAGAATTTACCAATCTCCACAATCTCTTACTCATAAATGAATTTAGTTTGCAACAAAAAAGCTCATATAACAGCTTAACCCTTAACTAAATGAAAATGGTCAACTCATACATTCCCTAAAAAATCTAATATTTGAAGGTATAATTGGATATATATTATTATAAGAGTAACTAAAGATGCATGGATATATATAGTTCTTTTGTACCTGGAAAATAACTAAGTAATTTTTAGCATACTATTCCAGTATCAAACTACTATAGTTTAATTGTCAACCTCAACGAAATTATTGCATATGAATTTAAGATAATTTTTTTCTACAGTTAATTTAAAAAACATAAGCGATCAATAATTACTGTCCAAGTTTAATGTGTTAATTTTATTTGATATATTTTGATATAAAGTAGGATTAATATGTGACCTGAAACTATGATGAAAGTCTACATTCAACGCGTCTTTAAGTTAAAATTGAAGCCAGACAATATTTGATATACGATACATGTACTAATAGGTTGCAAATCTAAATTCGAGAAAACTTATCTTATTTAAAAATATCAGGAGGAAACCTAGTTTTTCTTCTATTCAATATGGTCTCTTAATATGTATTTGATATCCGTCACAAGTAATTAGAGAAGACATCAATGAAGAAAATTAAGGTTTGTTTCTAAAACAAGAATGAAATACCATATAGTATCATGATGTTTCTTCACGACAGTTCGGTTATATTTATTGATTAGTAACCATATTTGACCGGCTAATACATTTTGACAGAATCTTAAGTAATGAACTGGTAAACTTCCCTATGAAAGTCTAATTGTCAGTTTTCTTATTCAAAGCACATTAATCCTGGTACACTAAAACGTCAAAAAGAATATACTATACTAGTAAATCTACAATACTGTAAATAAGTAGAGTAATTCACTCAATAAACTAATGAACACAAATGAAATTTTATAAGAGCTAAAGTTCGTTTAAAGGCATAGAACAAAAAACTTTCAGTTAAGAAAGGTCGTTTAATTGCTATGAAAATTCTAACAGAAAACTACAGTATGATCGCCAGTGGTTTTTATTCTGATTCATGTCTACTGACGTATCAAACCACCGAGTTGCACAATTTCCATGAACCCAACTGGAGAGTCGTGGTGAACCGACGGATGCCAATGCTACATTTCACACTCCGGCACCATTTCATAAACTGACCAATGACTCTGTACTAGGGTCGGTAAACTACAGACTGTTTGGGAGCCACCTGCATGATACCTGTAAAACATGTCCAAGACACTGGATTTGGTGTTTCAGAATTGTGACATCCAGTGAATTATAATCACTACACATAAACATGTAATGTCGAACTTCAGTATTAATAAGATTGCATTGCCACCTAACGAGAGCGATCCTTTGAAAATGACGATGATCAAATAGTCACCAAACATTTTCAGTTCGGAAGAGCTAGTTTTCAAAAGTATAGGGCATAACTACTTTCACAGAGATGTAGTATTCGCTTCGTAAATACAGCTGATTTTTTAAATAAACTACTTCAGTTTCTATCAGTTCAGTCCTACTCCAGCAGGAATTTAAGGTCAATGTAAGGAGTAACACCAAACTAAACATATGGCCCTGTAAAAACCACTTGATCAACTTTCCGGAATATATATTAGAAGAATGTTTGCAAACAATGTAAAAGCATTACTCACATCACCTTTTTAAACAATGTTCTTTCGTAAGAAACGGATTATACTTTCTACTACGTTATGAAAGGACCTTTATATATTAACCGTTTAGTTAACTCTTCATAAAAATATAAGACAATTACAAAATTGCTTTGGTGCTATTGAGGAGCGCAAAAGTGATACGCGGTTTTATAGAATGTAAATGAACCAAACTGATAGTTATTCAAACAAGTTTAGGTGAAAAATTCCAAATACTATAAGTATATTTAAAAAATTAGAAGCCTGACAGTACAAAAAATAGGGACAATCAAGAGATAGTGTTAGTACTTTCAGTTATATAGCTTCCTATCAAGGAAAGTTTACCAAACACAAAGAATCCTAATTAATCCGAACATTACACGGATAGGTAAACAATAAAAATAAATAATACAACCAAACCATCAAATGGAGCGAAATCCCCATGTGGACTGAATGGAAAGCCAAAAACAGCCGTAGTTATTATATATTTAATGATACGAGTTTTTGTCGTTGTTAGCACTAAGAAGTGCATTTAACCAGAGCCCATTAGCATATGTGCGTTTGAAGAAACAGATACTGAGTTCGAGTTTCAGTTTGAACATTGACACCGGAATGCAGAAATGTTCAGCTGGCTAGTCATAAATAGGACCAAACAGTAGTCCTAGATTGTATTGATAGCGAAAACCTAATTTAATTAAAAAACTGGTTATGTCTCATTAGGTCCATGAAATGGATGATAACCAGTAACGATGATAGAATAGATAACGCAAGTGGGATAAGAAAAGGTTAGTGATATATATCAAGCATAAGTAATTGGAGGATGACGACCAATAAAAATAAGGCTTGCAAATATAAAGTATGCACAAAATGTTGAAAATAGTAGGTGATCGAGCAGAGAATGTTCAATAAATATACGCATTCAGCAGTTATTCTTTGATGGAGCTATTTTTACACCTTGATACACGTTACGGTATTAAAGATTATTGTTAACATACATTTATGTTTTGGACCAACTGAATTATTTTCTTCTCTTGGTTCACAATCCATTGTTGATCGGGTCTTGGTTGAGTGGTACTATGTGGCACGACATGACTTTGATTTGAGCACTTCATCAAAAATCAACTGTCTGAGAGTTTTTACTGAATATTGTGATTTAATTCCACAGTGGGACTCTCTAGCTCGTTTAGTGTCTTCAACGTTCACTTGGTGTTTTCAATAACTATTATAAAGGCAAGGTTTCCAATTAATTTCATAAACTTTTTTCTTTAAAACTGAATGCAAAACAACAGGACCACCTTAGCATAAAGATAAATTGCACAAAGAACACGACAAGATAACAATTATTCTTTACTACCCTAAAACAAAAAAGAAATAGAAAACTGGTCATTAGGAAAGTGAGGGAAGTTTGAGAAAAAAATATGATCTTGCAATCATTGGGTTTTCTTAGGCTGTCAAAAACTGTTATGCACAAACACCAACAACGTTTAGATGACCTGAATGGGGGTCTTTCCCCAAGTTTAGAAAACTGAATAAGAACATGAACATCTTTTCGCTTAGCTATGTTGTTGCATCTACTACTGAATTTTATATTTTTGATCATATGATGCAAGTTGTAAGAGTACCCAAGTGATCTCTCTATTAATAATCTAGTGCTTCTGTACTTATAGAAATTACACTGCGATATCCTTATATATATCTATACAGATTATGTGTAAAACTTGATAGCTTAGCCAGTACATGAACATTTTCAGTGTACGCGAATAAAAGATGTCACGTTTGATTTATGCTTGGCCGTTACGATGACATACAAGTCAACATATATTCAATAACAGACCTCAGAATTCGCCGTGTCAGACCACTGGTTAGAAAACTAAATGACCCTAGAAGATTTAAAATGACTATTTCTATTGTTCCAGACGTAAATCCTGATGAACTAGTTCAGATAAAACAAGATTAAACAATAGCCACAAATACTAGTTTTATTATGGTATTTTACACGTATAGAACCCAATATCTTCTTCACGAGCTACTGCAAGCCAGCTGATTTATCTTTTTCTGTTTAATAGCGTTAGGGCACAGTTTTATTTCTACGCAAACCGGTTAGTCAAGCCACTCAGCTGCACTGGTCTTAGTGAATTTGACAGTTTCTTGGGTCTCAGACTAACTTGTATATGATTAGCCCAGTGTTGTTGGTGAAAGGATGTAAACATCTACCATTTTTTGACAACACCCATTAATGGTTAAACATACATAAGCCGACTATATAAAGGATTATCTTGAAAACTGCATAAGCTGGCTTTATTATTCTGCAAACCCCTCCATTACATTTCAGTGCACATCCTCAACGTTAATTGGACAGTAGTCAAAATCTCCTTATGATTGAAGTTTTGTCTTGGGGCGAAGCGTGAGAAATTTACGATTAAGTCATGACTCAACTCGAGTACAACTCACTATGGTATATCGTTAACATGTACTTAAGTCGAGTAAATAAGACAGTTGGTGACAGAAAGATAGATTATAAGCGCTAAATTAAGGAAATACGACAACTGAAACTTTAATTAATCAAATAATGCCTAAAATCGATTACACAACCCTAGACACGCGATAACACAAAGAGTCGTCAAATTGTGCGGACAAACTGTTCGGACAAATAAATACAAAGAAATTACATTTATATGGAGCGTAGAATTAAGTCATTCAGTGTCCTTTATAAAAATAATAATTGAAGACTTTAGTTACGCCTTTAAAATAGACGCTACTATTGGTTACAGCTCACTATTCTAAGTGATAAAGCGAACATTCTAACCTGACTGATGAACTTAAGTAAGAACCTTTTGCTTAAAGATGTTTCGGATTCGACTAAAATTTGTTTTCGGACTTCTAATTCTTCGTGAATCTAGTGATGGGTGAGAAATTAGTTCCATTTATAAAGATTTCTACTACTTTTCCAAGTGATAAGTTTCAACATATTTTGAAATGAAAATTCAACGATCAGCCTAGTTTATTTATAAATGCAAGACCGTTTCACTTTTAAACCTATACTCCAATATTTACTAATATAATGGTGCCGTGAGATAATACTACTTCATCATGGAAAGTTATTTGTCAGTAAGCCATCAGGAATAGTGAAAATGTTCATTCATCGTCATCGAGATTGTTGTTTACAAGACTTACAAGACGAATAAATTCCGTTGTAGTTGCCAATTTTCGAATGCTTAATATGTCTTTTACTGAATGTACATTTTGTTTCGCTTGCTTATGTAGGACGTTATCATGCCCTTTGTACACCTGTTTGAGTTTGAATGCACGTCATTATAAACGTTTTCACTTAGCCTCTGCACCTTATGGTTTTTGTTTTTCTGCCTTGTAGACTGTCATCCGATTACAACATTACTCACCTTGGTTGCTTACTGTTATAACTTGTGACCGCTGATTATGGAGCAGTGACTTATCGATTGGATCAAAGACACGTAAAACCGTATGAGCAGTCTAGAGTTCTGATGGACCCTGCTTTCTTTCTAGCCCAATCAGTCAAGTCCAGAACACAAGTCTCAGCCTCTGAAATACGAATCTTTATATTTCAAGCATACTTTGTTTATATACCAATCAAGCAGACCACATCGTACGATAAAATAGAAAGTAACATTTGTACAATATTTGGCCAACAGGAAAATGTCACGTGAAATAAGTATTGACCAGTAGGAAAATAACACGTAAAATAAATATTGACCAATAGGAAAATGATACCATCTCAAGTCCCAGAATAACATTAGACTTAATAGAATAATTTTTGAGATATTTCCCTGTTTCAAACTCAAATGGAATCAAAAAGACTAACAAAAATGTATAACTAAAGGAATCAATCGGAACAAACTGCAAATGTGTACATGGAGGGATTTTCACACTCGAAACATTCAAAATGGATCTTACTTACTTACTTACGCCTGTTACTCCTCGTGAAGGAGCATAGCCTGCTCACCAGCATTCTCCGTCCAACCCTGTCCTGGACAATCCTTTCTAGCTCCGTCCAGTTGTAATTCATCGTTTTCATATCTGCTTCTATTATCCGACGCAATGTGTTCTTTGGCCTTCCTCTTTTTCGCTTCCCTTCAGGATTCCAAGTTAGGGCTTGCCTCGTGATGCAGTTTGACGATTTGCGTAATGTATGTCCTATACATTTCAATCGTCTTTTCCTAATTTCTTCTTCAGCTGGAAGTTGGTTTGTTTTCTCCCACAGAAGGCTGTTGCTGATGGTATCCGGAAAATGGATCTTACAATAATAATAATATCAGACGACGCTTCGGGGTAAAAGATTTTTAAAGGCTATAAACAATCTGACCAACAGAGGTTATATCAATTATTGATCGATATTAAACTGAGGTATAACATTCTATCGTGACTTTACCTTCTAACAAGTAGTTTGTTGTGTAGTCGAAAGTCACTTGTCGTTCGTGTTGACGTTTTTCAAAAAAACATTTTAGTCCTATTATCCAACAGACAATAGGATATGATGATACATATATGGATATAAGAAAACTATCAAACATAGGAAATAAAATGTATGAGTGTACAACATCAATGTCAGTATCCCATTTATAAATACCCTATAAGATGTTACGAAAAGCGCTGTTTGAGGTAAGCGAATACGAGAAATCTACAATAGCTTCTCGGGCTACATAAAAACTTTTAAATAATAGGTTTTCCACAGTAAATGATCATGAGTTCAAGTTAAAACTGCATTCAAAGAGGTAAGACATCAACAACAATATATCATGAGCATCCAAACGTTAAAGATGGCTAATCCAAAGTGTCCATGCCAGTAAAATGTGTTTTAATCGACGACAGTTTAACCACCAAATTTGCAGTATTTGGTTTGAACATAGAAGTATAATGAACAATAGTTCATTTGATTAGATCTAACTACAACCTCCCTGAATCAATGGTATTTATTTACATCAAAGCATAAAGTCAGTGGTTGAATAAATCGTTTCCTATTTAAGAAAAAAAAACAAATCATACCAAATCACAAAATTCTTCAAATAGTACGGCTTATTCTGTTCAGGTACCAGTTTCTTTAGAACAGAATAGCGTACTTAGTAGCAAAAGGAATGGTTAATAAATAATTGTTCAGTACCTGAGTCACCAAGTGCATTCTTGATATAGTGGAATCAATTATCTGTCCACCAGAACTCAACTAACTGTTTTCTAAAGTCGTTTAAAAATCAACAATCCTACAATTGAAAAACATATGGAATTCAAACCAACTGTAACCACTATCAAAGTCAAAATCTTCAATCCGAACGTTGAGACAGTTCTACTGTATGATGCTAAAACTTGGAGAAATACTACAACCATCGTCAAAAAGGTACAAGTATTTATAAAAAATTGTCTACGCAAGATAACATCAGCAATAGTATACTGTGACAGAGGATAAACCAGGTTTCGACTGAAGAGGAAATTAGGAAAAGACGTTGGAAGTGGATCGGACATACATTACGGAAATCAGCGTCTCAGTGGTCTAGAAGGTAATAATATACTGCAATGATCCTATTGAGGTATTGAGATAATATACTGAGATTTAAGCATATTACATACATACATACATACATACATACATACATACATACATACATACATACATACTGTTATAATTAGTCGTTTGAATGCTTATTGTCTTTGCTCTTTTAAGGCTACTTTTTGTATCTGATCGTCGCCGATTGTTACGTTGGAAACGCTTATCACTTATACTCGGAAAGAGAGACCTCTGCAATTCCCACGACACGAAAGTAAAAACATAAAGACTGGTATAAGTGATGATTTATTAACCCAAAGCACTATGACGACGACAACGACTCTAGTCGAAAATACACTCAATTTGTATACTGATTGTACACACACTTTGATTCATAATTAGGATGAAATCACATATATTAAATACTCAGTTATCACAAATCACATATAGAGCATAGTTCATGTCAATGGAATACAAGAATATCATATATTATACAGAATAAAATATCATACGAGAAAAGAAAACAAATACTACATTGAGTAATCATTACATTGAATCAAAACGGAAGTAATCTTGAACTAAGTTCATAATGAGCAAATC